ATTATGCCAGGAACATTAATGACAGAGAAGTATAACTACGTGTGTTCTTTTGTTTTTCAAGGAAAAAGAGTATTTTTTAAAAAGCCCAGCCACTTCTCAAAATATTTGATCTCAGGACACTTTACATGCTCTTAAATTAAAATTCATATGGATCCCTAGAGCTTTTTATTTATGTAGGTTATGCCTATTGATAGTTACTGTATTAGAAACAAAAACTAAAATATATAAAAAATGCCGATTCATTTGGAAACAGCAATGATAAGGCCATTTCATGTTAATGTAAATAACTTACTTTTTATGCATTATTCTATAATTTTGAAAATTCCTTTAACATTTGGCTTAATAAAAGTCAGTTGGATCCTCTTATTTGTTTCTGTGTTGAGGCTGCTGAGATGTTACACAATATATAGCCACTGGAAAAACTCACTGTACATTCATGAGAGAAAGAGAAGAAAAAAGCCAGATAAAGTCTTAGTCGTATGCTGTCAGCATATACCCCAACACGGGGCTCGAACTCACGAACCTGTGAGATCATGACCTGAGCTGAAGCCGGACACTTAACTGACTGATCCACCCACGGGCACCTCATAACCCTATCTTAATCGAGAACCCAATTCTTTTTTAACAGTTCTTTTTGATTTTGCCTTCTAAAGATCAGATCTAAATTTAGTAAAAAGTAAAAATTTCAGAATACCTTTTACATCTAAAACTGTCTTTGAAATTTCCTAGAGGATCCCTAGAAAATCACAAAGATTTCTTTCATCTTATAAAAAGAGATGTTAGAAATAATTAGGTTTTCTTTGATATGTTACCATTGTAAGAGTTTCATGGGAGGGGAGTTGCTGTCCCCATGCTGAGAAGAGATGCTCAGTGTTCCCAGGGTTAGCTCCATATATGTAAAAGTTTATAAATATTTTAGAAATTGTGTGGAGATTTGACAATGCCCTTAGTGTCCATAATATGTTTGTACTCTCAGGGGAAGCACATCAAAACTTTTATGAAATAGGTACATACTTTATCCCAATAGAGAATTTTATTTATCTTCTATTCTGATTTTATTAATTACAGTAACAAATTAGGTACAGCTATTAAGTGTCTGTCATCTTTGGAAAGTTTCTGTTTTACTCTAATGCTTGCTTAAAGGCTCTGCTTAAAACTGCAGTAATAGTTTGTGCCTGCAACAAAGACAGATTCAGAGCACTAGGGAAAAGGACCATGATAGGTACTTTGAACTATTGACACTTCAAAGAATAGTCTCTTGGGTACAGGCACCTGAGGTGATACAGCTGAGATAACTTTTATAAAGTACCAGTAGACTCTGTCAGGAGTCCTAGGAGTCTTTAGAATACAAGCAGATGGCTTCATGAAAGCGGACTGCTAACCCAAATCTAGCAGAACAAGAATGACATAGGGATGAAAGAAACAATAAGGGAAATGTTATTGGATTTATTTGTTTGGAGTATTGATTAATTTTAATAGTCTATTGCTGTATAGCTCTAGATTTGCAAAACAAAGTTAAGGAAGCCTATATGGTTAATGAACACTTTTGCTGTTTAAATAATCAGGGTGAGCCTATGAGACCAGTCATTTTTTGTGATCAATAATGATCTTTATGATTATTTTAATCATATGAGATAGGATGGGGACACTGTCAGGAAAAATTAAGAGACTTTCAAATAGGGGGAAAAATTACTGGGTGTCTAGTGTATTCTATCCTCCTTGGTCATCTGTGGCTTTCATTGTCTTTGAGATATTTTACAATTCTGTAGGTTGTGGAAAATTTATAGTAATGTATATAATTCTTTAAAAAAATGTTTACTTACTTATTTTGAGAGACAGAGAAAGAGACAGCAAGTGTTGGGGAGAGGCAGAAAGCAAGGGAAAGAGAATCCCAAGCAGGCTCTGTGCTGACAGCCTGGAGCCTGATGCAAGCACAATCTCACAAATTGTGAGATCATTACATGAGCCAAAATCAAGAGTGGGAGGCTTAACCGACTGTATAGTGCTCTGTATGGTAATGCATATAATTCTTTAGTTTTCATAGCAAAAAGCAGATGCTATGTACTTGAAACTATCAGTGTTTTATAAAAATAAACACTTTGAGTCAGAGGGAGGTGGTGGTAGGAAAAGATTTTGAGGGAAACAACTGTGGAAGAGTCGTTTTTTCTTGGCTGAGAAGAGGACTGAGGTCTGTGGGTCTCACAAGCATTAGGAGCTCCCTCCCCTTACCCTGAGGCTCCCAGCCTCCCCTCGATCCCAGTGTGTCTAGCAAGGCCCAAAGGAGCAAATACCTGAGATCTAATGGTACTACAGAGATGTTCTAAGTGTATCCAGTGCAGACTGGTGACCACATGTCTTCCTGATCCGCTGTTGGCCTCTTAAGCCCTTACTGTTTTCTTGGCATAATCCTTGGAGTGGGTGAGCTCTATAATGGCTTAATAAAATTTCTTGCCAGTTCTGTAGCATAGGTACTCATAGTAGGATGAATCAAGTAAATAAATTTCTTCCTGCACATGAGATTCATGTTTGCTACATAATGCTTTTGGATCTTTCCTTGACCTCCTTGTCTTTTCAGTGACTATTTTTCAGGCTTAGCCCTTGGCTGAAGCAGAAGTTCTGTTTCTTATGCTTTTCTTTCTTTTTGCTACTGAAGTACAACTGAATTTTTTTTTTTTTTTGGCAACTAGAACTTGCAGGTTGGTAGGAGTTTGTAGCACTTCTGCTTTATCTCTTTCTTCCTGGTTCCTCTTTCATCTCATTCCCACTCAAGGGGGTAGGAAGGACAAGTATTAGCTCCAATGGGATACTCTAGGATGTCTAGTTCCTAAAATCTCTTTACTAGTAAGCTAATGGTTTAGTGTAAGTATCTTACCACACAGATAGTAAAGTAAATAAAACGAATATGCTTTACTATATTGCCTCTTTATTTGTGAGTAAGTCGTTAGGATAAATGGCATATTTGTTAGCACTAATAAAGAAGCTTAAGGTTGAGAAGTGCTCTGTCCTTACAAGAGTGGAGTCACAACTGCCAAGCCTATGTCTGTTATAAGCTAGTTGCTTTTTCAAAAGTATTGGAAAAGACAAACTTCAGGTTTGTCAAACAGGTATTGTCCCATAATTAAGCTCATTAGCAACTAAGGTAAATTATACATGAAATACTCCCTGGAAACACATTTAACATTAAGTATTCTTTTTAAAAACATTTTGTTTTTGATGTTTATTCATGTTTGAGAGAGAGAGAGTGAGAGAGCGAGAGAGCACAAGCAGGGGTGGGACAGAGAGAGAGACGGAGACACAGAATGCAAAGGAGGCTCCAGGCCCTGAGCTGTCAGCACAGAGCTCAGCGTAGGGCTCAAACTCACAAACCATAAGATGATGACCCACTGAAGTTGGATGCTTAACCAACTGAGCCACCCTGGCGACCTAACATTATGTGCTCTTAACTTCATGGTCTGCTCTTGTGTTACCACAGGGAGTTTGATGATAACGAAAATAGACAGCCTGAAAACTATTTCTTATAGCTCTATTACAATGCAGACCTCAGCCCTGGCTTTTGTGATCTGGAAAGAGGTCTGCAGCAATTTGTTCCACCTGGGGCTAAGGACTTCTGTGAGATGTTAAGACGAACCTAGCAATCTGTCTGCTATAAGAAGAATACCTACCCACACTTCAACACTTTCATTCTTGGATGTAATCTGAGATGGTAGTCTTAGACTGAGATTCTCTATTTTTCTTCTATGGTTTTTGGTCACTTAAGGACTATTTGTAAACACTCTAAAACTAGTTGTGAATGAAAGGTAGACATTCTCTGTTCACAAAACTGAATTCTGCCAAAGAGACAGGTTATACATTTAGGCAGTTTTATAGCTAGAGAGGGCAGAGACCAAGAACAGTCATATATATAAGATCTAGCTAAAACTTAATTATGCTCTTGGAAAATCTGAATTTTAGTAAAAACTGCCATTCTGACAATATTTTTATAACTTTTCAGTTTAGCCATTAATATGAAAAAAAAAAGTAAAGATGGAAAGGGATTATAGGCCAGTAAAAACATTTTGTGTTCTGAAATATTTTTGAGCCAAAACATCAGACTGGTTATTATAGTAAAGCATATTTTTGCTGCTATAACATTATTCAGTAGGCCCAATAATCATCATGAACTAGGGGTGCCAGGGTGGCTCAGTTAAGCATCTGACTTCAGCTCAAGTTATGATCTCACGGTTTGTGGGTTCGAGCCCTGCGTCAGGCTCTGTGCTGACAGCTCAGAGCCTGGAGTCTGCTTCGGATGCTGTGTCTCCCTCTCTCTGACCCTCCCGTGCTTACTCTCTCTCTCTCAGAAATAAATAAAAAACATTAAAAAAAATCATCATGAACCAACACGTTTCATTAAGATATATAAAATTAAAGATGCTAGGACACTGAAATTGCGATTTTTAAAGGACTAAGTATATACTTGCATAAGACAAGTGTATTTGCATAAATATACTTAGTCTTATAAAATCCTATTTATCCTTATATATATGTTTGCATTTTGTTTCCTTCATTTACTATGATTATGAGCATTATTATTTGTCAAAAGGGGCAATGGAATGCCTAATTCTTTCTTTCATCCGTCTGGGAATCTAAGGGTTCTTTATCAGGTATGGAATGTGTGGCAGGGGAGGACAGGATTTTGGAACTTTACCTTGAGGTTAAATATCTGCATAAAGGAAGTCCTAATGTTATAGTAAAGTTGAGTGAGCAAAGAAACAGAAATCTTCAGGGGAACATCGAAACCACTTTGCATGCTGTGGGATTCTCCAAGCTGCTCATGATGCTAAGCCTTCTCTTATATACCCATACTGCATCCCTTTTTGCTCAGAAATTTCTGAAGCCCTAGGGATTTTTCAGATTTGTGCAGGTCTGGTTATGGATAATAGATATGTACCAGACTACAGTTAATCAACCATATGCAAGGACATTACGCTGGATAAATTTTCATGATTCCCATTTTTTCATACCTTTTCCCCCATGGATACACCCCCTGACGTGATGATGACATCAGCACGACTGATACCCTCATTCAAGGCATTGAGTAAGTCATCTGGGCTGGAAAAAAATAAAGACAAATAAATTAACCATAAGGAAAAGATTTTATATATGAATGTCAACTTACAACTAAACCACTTTATTCACTGGGTAGGCATTAATATGGGTATAGCATTTTACTCTGTATGATCTCTGTCCAACAGGAGCCTAAGTCTTACTGCAGAGAAAGAACCTCATAAGGGCGGAAATAGTGGCTACTGGTAATTACACAGAGCTTTTTGTTTTAACAAGGCAGAGACACTGAAGTGTTGGTAGGCTGTCTAACCATCCCAGCTTGCCTAGGATAATCCCAGATTTAGTACTGAAAGTCACATGTCCTAGGAAATCCCAGGCAAATTAGGACAGAGGGTGACCCTAGATATTGGAGATGTCACACAAAACTCTTTAGAGGGGATATGACTTAAGTTAGTTAAGCTTTGAGAAACAGGCTAGATTTTTACAGGTGGAAGGAATGAGAAAAAGCTTTATAAACCAGAATATCAGCCTGTGATGTAGCCTCACTGGGGATTAATATGGAGAAAATGAACTGTCTAGAACAGTCATATAAGTCTATCTATTTTCCAACTGAATCTGAAAGCAGGAAAGATCAGGGTCCCAGCTCAGACAATCGCTAGGAGGATTTCCCTCTTACTCAGTCTTCTGTTCAGGTCTTCAACTGATTGGATGAGACAGAGCAACACTAGAAAGGGCAACCCGCCTTAGTTACTTATTCAAATGTTGATTTCATCCAGAAACACCCTCACAGACACACCTAGAGTAATGTTTGGCCAAATGTCTGGGCACCTGATGGCCCTGCCAAGTTGGTACATCAAATGAACCATGAAAGTCAGATTATGAAGGGCCTTGTTGACCATGAGGAATTTACCTTTATCCTCTGGACAACAGAACACCTTTAACATATTAATTAGGACATATATAAATAGGACAGTGACATAAACAGATTTGAGACTTAGAAACTGAATTCTGGTAGGAGTCTGGGGGAAACTCATCGAGGAACTAGCATAGGCAAGGGCAGTCAGGAGGCTTCTGCAGTGATCAGGACATGGGTGTCAGCTTGGGGAGCAGGCTGTGATGAAGATTGAGAGAAATGATATATTCCAGAGATATGTAGAACTTAGTATTGGATGTGGGAGAGGAGGAAGAAGGAGAGGTCATGGCTGAACCCAAGTTTCTACCCTTGACAACTACAAGGAAGGGAAGGGAAGGAAGGGCTTAGAATGACTGGGATAGGACAGGATTAAACTCAAGAACTGGGACTTCATCTAACAAGAAAAGGGTGGTGGTGAGGGTTTCCTAGAAATATGAAGACACAATAGGCATTTATTGGGTAAAAAGGGTAGAAGAAAAAAACTAGCAAGGCAGAGACAGTATGAAATATTCTGAGAGGGTTAAAAACACAGGATGAATATTAGGGATTGAAACTAGGCAGATTACTGATAGTCAAATGAAAAGACAAATTTACAGCCCCTTTGACTGCATAGGTCAAAGGCCTGGGAAGAAGAGATGGAGCAAAATCAAGAGTCTATCCTCTGGGGAGGGGCAAGATGGCGAAGAAGTAGGAAGCTCCATGTATTGCACTCACCCCCGTATCTCACACTGAAAAGATCTGAAGCCATAGGAAATCTTACAGAATCCAAGAGATTGGGAGAGAAAGGACGCAGAACCCACTGAGAAAGCCTTCTAATGTGAGTGTGAACTGGGGAAGATAAAATCTGGCGGGGATCGGAGACTCACAGGGACGGGGGCGATCCCCCTCTGCGGGGAGTGAGAAGGGAAAAAGAGAGAGTCTGAAACTACTCAAGATAAGGTCTCTGCCGCTGGGAAACAAAAAAACCTCTGGTCGGGGCACAGGACCATTCGCGCCAAATCCCCGCGCGCCAACTCATCCCAGAGTGGCTGCGCGCGCACACCGCTCCTTTGTTCCTTTGTACTCCTGGCTCAGCTGGATTCTTAGAGGAACCGTGTGCCTACCTCCGCACTCCGAGCTGGCTGGAACTTTAGAGGGAAGGAGAAGGGCTTAAAACTGGGAGATTTACCTGCGAGTTTGTGTTTTGGGTGACGAGACACAGAGGGACCTGGTTTCCCTCTCTCCAGTGGGCCAGATGCACCCTGCAGGCAAACCCCTGCCCATGCTCGCCAACCCAACCCGGAGGAATAGGAGCAGAGGCTTCTGGCTCCACACTCAGGGCTAGGCAAGAGGATTGGAATTGCTCTGAGGGGATCACCTGCGAGGTTGTGTCTACTGCAATTTCAGTCAGGTGCGCAGACTGCACTTGGAAACTAGCCTGGCCTGGGTTAAAGAGCGCCACCCACCCAGCACGGGAAGTTTACACACCCAAAAAAGCAAGGTGCAGTGCTTGGTTCAAGAAGGGACTGGAGCACCGCCACTCTCCTCTCCACAACCGCTAAGGCAGAACTCCTGCCTGAGGCATTGGATTACGCCACGCCCATCCCTGCCTGAGAGGTGCCCTCCTCCCTTTTTTTTTTTTTTTTTCTCTTTTTCCCCGGAACACTGACCTGATTAACTCTGGTCACCGGCTTGCTTAAACAGTCACAACTAGTTCATTCTCTAGGTGTAAATTCTACACCTACTGACCTTTTCATCTCTTTCTCTCAGGAGTAATTAGACTATATAGTTTCTCTGGAAACACCAGCGTCCTTCTCTCACCTCTCCAACCATATTCCACCCTTTAGCTCTTTGAAAAAAGCTTCTTATTCCTTCTGCCTGTTCATTCTATTTCCAATTTTGCCTCATCCCCGCCCTGTCTTCTCTCTCTTTCTCTATGCTCTTCAACCAGCACTGCATACACATGGCTATTTAACTGTAGCTGGGAAATCCAGTTATATGCTTTAAACCATTCTTTCTCCATTAGTTTTCTTCTTTTTATCTTTTCTTTTCTTCTTTTTGATCCTTTTATGTATTTTTTATTCTCTATTATTTGCCCTCCCCCTCCATCTTTTCGTTTTCCCTCTAGGTTTGCATATTAGTTGGATTTGTCTGTGTGTTTGTGTGCTCCTGCTCCCTGTGTGTTTGTCTGTCTGTTTTCTTCTCCAGGGCTACCTCGAGAAACAAGCCAGAGTACACAAGGTGGAGAGTCCCAAATATCACTGTGAGTGGGAAAATAAAAGAACCAACGTCTCAACAAGAGAGACCAAAAGATACCATTCAAAAAACTGCCCTGGACAGTCAAAGAGTCTTCTTGGATATAGCAGCGCTCACAGGTGTAGAGAGCATAACAAGTCTTTAAAAGTAACAAGAGCCAGAAAGCTAACTAAAATGACAAAATGAAAGAGCTCTCCTCCAAAGAAACTCCAAGAAGAATTGACAGCTAATGAACTGCTCAAAACAGATATCAGCAGCATAACTGAACAAGAGTTTAGAATAATAATCATAACACTAATAGCTGGGCTTAAAAAAGCATAGGGGACATCAAAGAAATTATGGCTACAGACAAAATAAAAATAGGCATGATGAATTAAAAAATGCGATAAATGAGATACATAGTAATTAGAGGCCTCCAATGCATGGATAGAAGAGGCAGAAAGGAGGATAAGTGGTTTAGAAGATACCATTATAGAAAAACAAGAAGCTAACAAAAAAACGAGACAAACTGATCCAGGAATGTGAAAGAAGAGTTCGAGAGCTCAGTGATACGGTCAAACGCAACAATATCTGTATCATAGGAATCCCAGAAGAGGAAGAGAGAGGGAAAGGTGCTGAAGGAGTCCTGGAACAAATTATAGCAGAGAACTTCCCAACCTGAGGAAGGAAGTTAACGTTGAAATACAAGGGGCTCAGAGGACTCCCCCTCAGACGTAATTTGAATCGATCTTCAGCACGGCATATCATAGTAAAAATGGCGAAATACAAGGACAAAGAGAGAATTTTGAAAGCAGCTAGGGATAAAAGGGCCCTAACATACAAAGGGAAACCTATCAGAGTGGTGACAGACCTATCTACTGAAACGTGGCAGGCCAGAAAGGAATGGCAGGAGATCTTCAATATGATGAACAGAAGAAATATGCACCCAAGAATCCTCTACCCAGCAAGCCTGTCATTCAAAATAGAAGGAGAGATAAAAAACTTTCCAAATAAACAGAAATTGAAAGAATTTTCACCACTAAGCCAGTCCTACAAGAAATCCTGAGGGGGACGCTCTGAAGGAAATGTTGCAAGGAATGCAAGATACCAGAGACACCACCACAAACATGAACCCTACAAAGGATACAAAGACTTTAAACCCACATATTTCAATAATAACACTGAATGTAAATGGGCTGAATGCTCCAATCAAAAGATATAGGGTAGCAGAATGGATAAAAAAAAAAAAAACAAAAACCCAAAATCCATCTATATGCTGTCTACAAGAAACTCATTTTAGACTGGAAGATACCTTCAGATTAAAAGTAAGGGGATGGTTATGTGGAAACTAATTTGACAATAAACTATTTGTAAAAAAAAAAAAAAAAAAAAAA